GCTTACCATCTGACCGCTTACCTTCATGTGGACTGCTTTTCCGCTGTTACCAGTTTGTCACGTAGCTTGCCATGTAATGTACGTCGGCGGACTTAAAACGCAAAGAGGAGTTGACCACGACGATGGGGTTTACGTCCGGTGAAGAACGGTTCCAGAAGCAGGTAAGACAAAAACAGAAGCCTAAAAATAAAATTAACAAGTAAATAACAGGGTGAGAATGTGGTAAAATCTGAAAATGTGGTAAAAATTAGACAAGGGCTTTCCTTTTTTTGCATTGTTTTTTAAGACTGTCAGTTGGGTTTAGTAAAGTGGGGGGGGGGGGGGGTCAATCGGTGCCTTTAAAAACACTATTGGTTGGGTTTAGGGAAGAAGGTGGGTGGGTCAGTGGATGGGTCAGTCAGTCAGACAGTGGCCTCTGGTGGATTTGCACGAGAACAGCACGAATGGCACTTGTGAGAGAAATTTGAGATCAAAAAAGGCACACACAGCGGCCTCTGGTGGATTTGCGAAAACAAGAACCACAAAGACTCATTTGGCGTTGTCCAGAAAAGTATATAAGGGTACATTTTCAGAATGAGCCTGGGTTGTTTTTTCCCTTTTTTAAGGTTTTGTTATTCACACAATAAAAAAGCATTGAATAGATGTAATCTCTTATGTTCAGTGGAGATCAAAATTAAATTTACAAACATCAGATTTTTCCAGAAGTACTGTAATCTTTGCAATTTCAGTTGTGACTATACCATGGCATTTTAATAGGAGCATCTGAAAAACATTTGCATGTAGCTTGACTCCTGCTGCAGAAAACTTTCCATAAACCATGACACTTCTTTACCCACTTTGGTTTTAGTTTTTCCCAAACTGACAACAAACAAAATGTTTTCCATGTTTACCAAATAAATTAAAATTAAGTGAAGTTTGGACAAATCCTGTGTCCACAACAAGGTCCTTAGCTAAGCTTAGTCTGGTCTTTTGATTCTTTCAGCTGATGAGAATGAGCTGCTGACAGTTTGCTTACTGCAAGGAATTATCTTAAACATTGAGTATATGTACATTGACACCAATAATCTAATTTTAAAACAATTAAATCAATACTCTGATTAAGAGTCTACCATGTAAACAACAATTTTCGATTACCTTTATCAGACTAAAGTCACAATCGAACTAAACAGAAATTGATTTAAGAAGTATGGAGTATGCCGATGCAAGTCACATTACTGAAGTGCAAACAGACATGTAAACACTTTAGTGAAACTACTACCATCGTGTAGGATTTTTGTCGCATTTTGCGTTAGGATAGCCCATACATACACGGCTGTTTGACACTATTCTATGCACCTACCGTTTCAGTAAAGGACCGCAGACACCTGCATCATGAAATGCAGAGTTTGTTTTTTTTTCCATACGGCGTGCAATGTCAAATTCCATTAAAACAACACTCTTCCAGCAGTTTATACTCGCATCCAAAATCTTGTTTGTCACAGGGGGCATGCATAAAATTTCTGAATGAAAGTGAAAGTGCCAAACTGCAGTTAAAGTCGACAAATTAAAAATTAAACACCTGAAATTACATGAAACTCAGGAGGAAGTGTGTATAGCGCGTTGATGAAATGAAGTTAATCAAATTATGTGCTATAACATGTAATACAGGATCATGAAAAGAACATTCAAAAAGCAACTCATGTAGACACCTTAATTATATTATTGTCTGGGTTTGTTAGATATATGAGGTAATTGGACGCAAATGCCAAATTAACGTCAATAATCTCCAAGTTTTTTTTTATTTAGAATATTAGGGCTGGGAATCTTTATAGGGCACCTATTTTACCCCTTTTTTAAGATTTAATATAAGCCTTTTTTGTCTTATAAGCCTTATAAGTTTCAGCTCAAAATACCCATTAGATTATTTATTATACCTTTTTAAATCAGGTAAATTAGCTAGTTCTCTCCGCCCACTGTTCCCATGTGCGTGTCAGAGAAGTCAATTCAAGCCTTTCTGCAACAATGAGTCACACAATGTCGATATATACACATACACACACACACACGTTTAGCTTTACACTGCTTTGCATGGCAAATGTGACAGGATACATATACAATACTACATAGACATGCTATTACGCATCTGTCAATTAAATTCGGTGGGCAGAGAAACCATACTCCTACGTCACTTTGCAGTGGGCTTCAAAATGGGAGGGGTTTGAAGCTTATTTTAACGTCAAGAAATTCCAAAAATTTGAATGAAAGTTTCTTTCGAAAGATGATTTTCATCAAAGATGCCCTTTAAGGACTTTATGGTCCGATCCAATTCCAATTCTGGAAATCAGGATCCAATATACACTTCCAACTTTACATTTGAAGCAGAATTTGAGTTTTTATGCTTTTGTTTATGATTGGAATTCTATGTATGACAGTACTGCCATCTTAAAATAATTTATTTTATTAAAAAATAGTTATATTTAGCAAGAACAAGCTCTAAATGTAACATAGAAATGCCATAATGATAGAGAACAAACAACCCTTATTCCAATAAGAGAGCATTCAGTTGGCAGTTTTGGTACATGGGTTGGTCAAAGCTATTTATTATCTGTTTCCAGCTTGTGCCCGCTCGTCTCACATTATTGCCGTTTTATTTGAATAGAAAATCAATTCAAAGTCAAGAAAGAGAGAATCACAAAGCATCAATGAATAGATTGTTTTTTCTCCCAACCCCACAGAATATACAGTAAAAACTCAAAATATGCTCAAAAACTGCTCTATTACTCCTGCCATGATATCTTCAGTTTAGGAAATTTTAGGTTCTCTAATTTTGATCTCCACTCTATATCCCTTTAAAATATTACATTAATTATCGCTGCAAATGTTCAGAAAAAACAAACTTTTTTTTGCTGTTTGAGTCGAAGCACCTTGCTCTTTTTCAGGAATGATTAGAAGGCTTATTGTGAGAAAACACTATGTAAATGCTATATGCTTGGTGTTTTTTTCGAAGTGCTACTTTATTTAAAAAAGTATAAACTTGACCCGACATTTTTATGAATAGGCATTTTGATATAAAAACATTACAATCTTTTCCACATTAGTACTTAATTACACAGCTTTAATACACACCACCCTGTTGTTTGATAAGCAAACGCACAACATTAGCTGCCACACTAAACTCAACTGGTCTTTGAGATACACAGTATAGCTAAAATGATGTGGAACTTAAAAACAAACAAAAAACAAAATTCCCAAAGCACATAATCAAAACTCACAGAGATACTGCTGAGATAATTTTTCACCCAGAAAAATCATTCCAAAAGGACAACCGGAAAGAAACAAACACTTTCAGGAACACCAAGATCAAATTCCCTCCCCCTTTTCTTCATTTCTTCAGTTTGTAACATATTTACAACATCGCACCAACATTTGATGGCAACGAAGGCTTAGATAAGGGCTTTGATTATATTTGGTTGACCTGAGCCCCTTTCTTTGTGCTCCAGCCATTTGGGATAATTTAATCCAGATTACATTAGCATCAGATTCAAACACACCAAGAGAGCGGAGACAGTCCACAAATCATAGATAGTACTTTGACATTAGTCCATTGGTGAAGCTTGTCACTGTCTGGCAATAAAACCTCAACCCCCCTCCCATAGACCTACAGGGTGACATATACTAATTTTATATCACTTAGTTGTTGTTTTGTTTTTTTATCTCCCATTATTTCCATATAACATACAGGAGATTTCTTTTTCTTTTTTTTTTGCAACAATCAAATGTATGCAATCCCATTCAATCTGATCTGGACATACGTGGACTGCTTTTGAAATGATGGGGGGAAAGGGATTGTCTGTGATACATTTCAACTGACCAATTATGTTATATTACTAACTGTCCAGTTGTTTTGTTTAGAGAGTCCTCCTTGAGTCCTCATTGGTCTCCCCAATCCTGAAGCGATTCACTTTGTGCTCTTTCTCAGATGAAGAAAAAGGCATATAAATCAAACAATCCACCGACAACAGCAAGAAATAAACCATTCTCTTGATACCACAGGACAGTGCTAGTTTCACTTTTCTTTCTTTTCTTTTTTTTATCCCTTTTCAAGGTTTTTTTAAGCATGCATCTTTTTAGTCAGGCAAAGTGCATAAACAGTATTGACAAAGAAAAACATTTACTTTACCGCATCGAAGTGCTGTGGTGACCCATGTGACAGTTTGAATTTATGTATGACCAAAACAAAAATAACATGAAAAGACATTGGGGGTCTCCTGTGAGATAACTTTTTGTGTGCAGTTATTATTTTTTCCACTGTCCCTGAGCTTCTTCTAATTATCTCCATGACAATTGCTATTTAACATCTATTCATTTTTAACATTTTAAATGTACTCTTGAATTTCTAAAGGGGGCTGTCTATGACAGACAACATGCTTAGCATGTGATCATTTGTGCTTAATAGAAAATATTTTCTTCACGTATAGGATCTGTTTAATCAGTCGAATTAGAATCTTTATTTCATTTCTAAAATTAAGATTTTATTTTAAAGAAATAAAGGCTTTGACTTTATAAAAATAGGACATTGTGTTTCCCACAGCTTTGACATAATAGATATATTTAATCCATTTTAAAATAAGATCAACTCTTCTATTAATTAAATAGACTTTTTTGCCAATATATGGCATTTTGCTTGGCAACAGCTTTTGATTGGCCCCTGATAACTTTTGAAACCGGGAACATTATTTTGCTAAGAGTGTCAAATCAAGATACTTTTATTTTTTTCTCAGATGGCCTTGGGAACACAAATATGTTGTGCTTTTAAACACTTTGCTTTTATAATAGACTTGTGCTCATTATTTTTTTCTCCTTTGGAATTTTCTAGGCATTAAATACAAGTCTGACCCGCAATTCCGATGGTCACTTTGTCTAAAACTACAGCATGTAATGACAAAAAAACAAGAATTGCTACTGTGATATGTTGTGTCTGTGGTGATATGTCGTGGCTGGTGACTTTTTTTTTTCTTCTTCGTGATGGAGTCGTGCGACTAATCAAAATCATTTAGTCTGGATTTTCACGTAAGCGTTCTGACATATTGTGCTGCGAGATTACTGACCTTTAACTAGACTTACAAAACTCAATGCTCAACTAACACTTGGAACCCATGTAAAATATATAGCAATGACGCATGTTCCATTGGGTTTCGACACACACGTCTCCCTATTAAAGATTCAAGCCCCGGAGAGGAAAGGTCCCTTCCCCAGAGCGTCCCCTACAGCCCAGTGACATACATCTCCATGCCGTCATTGAAAGTAAAGATGGTGGTTGTGCTGGAGGTGGCCGAGCTCTGCTTCAGGTCAGGGATGCTCTCGTACAGGCTCTCCCCAGGAATAAGCATTGCTTTAGCTGGGAGATGCTGCAGTTTAGGGGTCTGCTGGGGGGGTGGAGGGGGCGGGGGCGGTTGTTGCAAAGGCTGCTGGGGCCGTTTCCGCTTAGGTCGCAAGGTGGCACTGGCATTGGGTGGAGGCCTGTCACGCCTCCAGCCTCCCCCACCCTCCATGGTCTCGTAAGCCAGGTCTGTTTCCTCAGTGCTGATGGCTTCATAGCAGTGGTCCTCCATGCAGCCTGGTGGCGCTCTTGCGCTTTTGCCCTCCTGCGGGGCCCACGTTTGGGGTTTGACTACCACACTGAAACCCCCGTCACGCTCACCACGGTCACCCCGAGCCAAGGTCCTATAGCCGCTTATGTCCCTTGTGGCGGTGGGCGATCCGGGCACGCCTCGCTTCTTTTTGCCCGGTTTGCAGACTTTCGAGTACATCTCTGTGATCTACATGAAAATACAGAGACAAACCATCTGAAATGCATTTGTGAGAGGGCAATTTGTGCATATATATTTTGACTCCAATTCCCTGTGCCTGATATTCAATGAAAACAATCTAGCATTTTAGGAATACATTTGTGGGTTTCCAGCTGCTTCTGGTTAACAGTGGAAGTGCGCTGGAATCAGTCACAGACATGTTTCTAGATTGTTTAATACTTTCAAGACTTTTTGACTGCATAGATTGAGAAGTACAGGATGTATATTTGGACGGTCTGGAAAACTAAATGCACGCTCACCCCTGCTGCAGATGCTGCCATATTCTCTCCCGCATGAGAGCCCAGAATACCCATCTGCTTGTGCTGGAAGATGACATCATCATCTTCTGGAGGTTTCCATATGTACTGCTCTCCATTTCCCATAAACACTGCCTCCTGGAAGTATTAAAAACAATTGACCAGAATAAATATTATATTACAGTTTAAGAGGCCCATCTTAAATAATAGACACTGGAGAGTAGAGCTGAGTAGAGTGTTATAAGACTACATCAACAATACTCTCCAAGCACAGATCCATTTTAAATCTATGCTTTTAAAGGTTTGGTTCACACAGAAATGAAATCGGTCATCACTTAGTCATCCTCATGCATTTTCAAATGAGTATGGCTTTATTTCTTCTGAAGAATGCTAAATGAGCTTTTAAAACTGGTGCTTTAAAAGGTACAGAAGCAGCTTGAGGTAGTCAAGTGGGACACAGAATTGTGTCATTAAGTTGTAACTCTTTGTACTCGCAAGTCAAATTTCTTAACACAACATTAGTTCGTGAACCAGGTCAGTTTTTCCACTAAATTATTACCAGTAGTGTTGCCAGAATACTTTTCAAAAACCTTTATATTGCATATTTCCCACACACTGTTATTTTTACTTTTGCTTTGATTTCTCGTGACATTGCATCAATGGGAGTCTCCCATATTTCACACCCATCACCTGCCACCCTCACATTTAGTCTACCGCAAAACTCCCGTAATTAAATTTTGAACACAATAAAGTCACCTGGTCATCAACTTTTATATAGTATCCGACAGGGGTGCTGCTAGGGGGTGGTGGAGTTAGGACGATTCAAAGAGCACACACCGTAAAAATACCATTAGGGGGCCACCAGAACAACAACCCCTCGCTTTTCACTTTGGTCCGCAATCAAATCCCACGACCCCATTCTTAAATTTTATCCGAGACACCCTCTCCAGTAACTATCATATATCCCACTCCCTGGCTCACCAATTTTGTTTGCAAAACACCTAAAATGTTGTCATAAGGCTTGTACCGGCCAGCGGCACCCCGGTATCTGATCACCGCTGTCGCCCCAAAACCTGGTCCATTATACTACTGTGGCCTGGTAGTGCAAAACAACATTACAAAGTGTGAAACACTTTTACGAAGCTCAAAACAAAAAAACATTTCACCTATCACAATAAACAATTACATAGGAAAAACGATGTTACCAAGGACGAAACAAATTTACATTTTATAAAAATAATTTACAAGATGCAAAATACTTTTACCAGTTCTGAAACAAATTTACAATGAGAGATTCTTTACAGAAAGGGAATATACCACACTAACATGCCCCCAAACCCCCTCATTCCCCGGTTCTCAAACGGGTTCTCGTTACTCTGGCCAACCACCCCCCTCCACCCCCTGGTCTCCCGGAATTACAGAGGCAAATATTGGTAGGTATGCTGTCATGCATCAAGCAGTCGATGTGAGAAATCCACAAAGACAAGGGTCAGTTGAGGAGTCGTTTTAAAATTCCTCTCCCTGAAAATAAGCCTATGTAGCATAATCAAGCTACAATCCTCCCTCTTAATGCCTGGCCTCATGTCTAACCATCTTCTGCATCTAATGATATTGAGCTTAATGTGTTTCCTGTACTTGGGCTGTAAGGGAACAGGCTGGTGCTTGCTGTGCACTTTCTCCTCATTGCTATGCAGGAGAAGCGGAAGGTGGGCAATGGGGTGTGTCACAGAGCCATTTTTAAGGCAGAGATTAGCATGTAGTTGTCGCCTTTTTTCGTTCCCCATAGCAATCCACTTTGTCTACCATTAGGACCGGCCCATTTTTCTAGGTCTGGCTGTGTTTGCCTTTGTTTCAATGATTGAGAGGTTTCACTACGTGTTTCCGCTGGTTGCATCATCCTTATCGTAAAGAGCTTGTGAGGGTGCAACACCCCCAGTGCTGTGAACGGATCACTAAAAACTCACAAGAACCATTGATTGGAACAGTTTTCTCACAGAGGAAATAATGAAGTACACTTGCAGTATACTTAATTGCGGGGCCACTTTACTTGCAAGTCTACACAAGTGCTAAGGCACACTATATAACTGAGGCCATTCCCAGCATACTTCCATTTATAATATTTTCCATTTTAAGACGCTATTTAAAACAAAATCGGAAATTACAGAAAGTCAAAGCTTTTAGTAGTCATGAAACAGCAAATAGTTTCCATTAGCAACAATGCTCTCATGTATTGCAGTATTGCGTTTGCAATTGTAACCTCAGCAAAATCCCTTTGACTGCTGTGTTATAGGACTTCCTTAATATATGTGTAGAAGTGATCAAATGGATTCACTCAATTATCTTATAGCATTTTGTTGTCAGTCATCTTTTAATATCAATTAGTCAGGTTTTATTGACTGAAACCTATCGATTTACTTATTTTGATTTGTAGTCCCTTGCTAGATTAGTAGGTAGATTGGCAGATTCTACCTTCGGGAATGATGGAAGGTTGAAGGCCTCCATGTTTTTCCTTGGAATCTTTTGACTGTGAGGGTGTGTTGGAGGTGGGGCTTGGTGAGTGGGCGGGGCATGCCTAATGTCCCCACTACTGTGTCTTTGTTGTTGTTGTCCAAGTCCCTCCTCAGTCTCCGTCCCATTGTCTCTCTTCTGGGCTGCTTTGTCCACTTTCCTGACCTTTCTGATGCAGGCGTACTCCACTGTCTCTTGCGGTTGAGGGGGTGTGTTAACCACTTGGGTGAGGGTTTCCGACTCTGGAATCCCACCCTCCAAGCAGTCCCCATCAGGATCAGGGGGAGCTGGAGTATTAGCAGGAACTGCCGGTGGGGCAGGTGTGTCCGTCTCTCCGGCTCGACCTCCGACGCCGTAGCGTGCATCTTCAGATCCACGAGTGGGAGAGGCGCGCCGGCCCACCTCGGCGTATGTGTGTTCCCCGTCCTCACCAGAGGGGATCTGAGGCAGCTGGCGACCCTGAGAACGCAGGTCGGAGTTTGAGCGACGGCTAGAGAGTAGAAGCAGATCCATGCTGGCAGGACGGTTCTTCTTAGAAGATTCTACAAAAATAAAGATGATGTTACACAAAATCACGAATTTAAAATAATTGGTTTTTGCTTTTTTTTTTTTTTTAAAGAGACAATGAAGAGATTTGCTCGAAACTGCAGAGGCAAAGGGCAGCAGACACATGCCAATCACTATAAAGTAAAAGTTGCTACATCTACTAAAATAACTGCTAAGGAAACTCCTGGGTTGTAGCTGGAACCATGCTCAGGCCTTCCCACCGGACTGCTGGTGTGTGTGAAGAACTAGAGACTATCAAGCTTTAAAAGATGTGATTGTACAGTACATACTCTTGCCATTGCAGTTGAGTCTGTTCATCTCATGAAGCTTGGTGTCTGACTTACTGATGGAGCGCAGCTTGGACTGCCGCAGTATACTCTGAAAAAAATACACAGGAAAACAACATAAAAATGAGTACAACATTTTTGTGTTTGGCTTTTCAGGAGCTTTTTTTAACCATTGGTGGAACTGCTGGGTTTTTGATAATTTTGCACCACAAGAACTGAAAAACATTTTAGTTATCCAAATGTCTATAACTAAGGGGGACCAAAGTAGTTCTCGCTTGAGATCAGGTTCTCTCCTAGCCACAAAAGAAACTACCAGTATAATCAGTGTTCAACGATAGGCTGAATTTATTCCAAACTAAATGCTGACAATTAAAGGGTGAGTAAATGATGACAGAATTTTTTTATTTTTAACTATCTCTTTAATGCCTCATTCAGACTAGCAGCGACTTTGTAGCTGCCTGTCGCTTTGGGTGGCGACCTGCTTGAAGCGCAGGGGTGTGTAGGTATATGCAGCACAAATACAACCGGCCTCTAAGTGGGCTAAGAGAGGATCACGTGAGCTTTACTGATCCTCCTATTTGCTGTCGCTCAAGAAAGTCGCTCTTCATTTGCATACAGTTGGAGGATTCTTAACTTTGTCGTGTCGCTCGACATGCACACCTGGTTGCCAATGGTCACTGTCACTCGCATAGACGGAGTTTGGCGGAAGTCACTCACTCTCTGTTGAAATAAATGGTCGCTTGTTGCTTTGCTGCTACATGTCGCTTGTAATGTAAATGAGGCTTACGTTTTATGTATTTTCTACTTTGCGTAAGTTTCCAACTTCTGTGGTGTAGGAACATACTAAGAACATCTACTTCCACCATCAGTTCTATTAAAACTTTCCTTCAGTATGAAAGCTCTTTTTGTTGGTGCAAGCACGGTCTGACAGTAGTACAACATTAGGCACCAGTTGCGTACTTACAGTATCTATAATATACTATTATGCACTATGCTGGTTCATCAACATTTCTTGATGTTCAATGTAAAAGTAGGATAAAACAGTACAGCAACACTATTACAGTGGAAAATAAGTCTTCTTTAGCATGTCTTACTAGTGTGTGGGGTGTTGAATTAATCAAATGCCCTGAATCCTTTTGTTTTAGTTTTAAACTTAACAGAACCATTCAAAGTTTAGGTCAGATCCATTTCCACTGAGCCGATTAAGAAGATTAATTTAATTCAGGAGGAGCCTTCAATTTATTACTTGAAACACTAGTGTGAGGGAAGAATTTAAATCCTGAAACAAAACCATGAACTGCTTGAACCGGCATGGAACTGAGCCCAGATCTGAGTTCCTTAGAAAACACATGAAAAAGAGAGATATAATTGAGAGGAAAGAGAATGGGTTTTCATTCACTTGCCATGCACACACGGGCAGTAATGCATTAAAAAACTGTCTGTTATTCTGCCTTAATAACAAGGACACATTGAAGTGACCAAAAGTGACACTATTGAAAAAGATTTCTAAAGTTTTTTAAACCTTCTATTGAAAAATGTAATAATTATTAACATCACAATTTATTAGCATCATTTTCATTATTTATAGTAATGAGATATGCTTCATAAGCACCAACTGTATACACTCACCAGCCACTTTATTAGGTACACCCTACTAGTACAGGGTTTGGGCCCCTTTTTGCCTTCAGAACTGCCTTAATTTTTTGTGGCATAGATTCAACAGGGTACTGGAACTATTCCTCAAATAAATATCCCAAAGGTGCAGTATTGTGATGAGTTCTGATGACTGTGGAGGCCATTTGAATACATTGAACTTGTTTTCATTGTTAAGAAACCAGTCTGAGATGATTCGCGCTTCATGACATGGAGCATTATCTTGCTGGAAGTAGCCATCAGAAGATGGGTACACTGTGGTCATAAAGGGATGGACATTGTCAGCATCGATGCTCGGGTATTCTGTGGCATAGATGATGCTCAATTTGTACTAATATGCCCAAAGTGTCCCAAGAAAATATCCCCCACACCATTACACCACCAAAACCAGCCTGAACCATCAATACAAGGCAGGATGGATCTATGCTTTCATGCTGTTGACACCAAATTCTGACCGTATCATCCGGATGTCACAGCAGAAATCAAACTCATCAGATCAGGCAACGTTTTTCCAATCTTCTATTGTCCAATTTTGGTGAGCCTGTGTGAATTGTAACCTCAGTTCCCCTTCGGATGGGGAACGTCAATGCTAAGTGAAAACTTCCACTGTGGGGTATTTCGTCAGAAACCAATCATGTGAAAGAGTATAAAGGGGTCAGGTAGTGAGCCTGCAAGCGCTGGCCGCGGAGGAGGCAGACCCAGCCCTTTCATTATTGTATCCCTGCAGAGTTCCTCCGAGGGCCCCAGCATCTGACTCAGCAGAGGAGTCAGACGTTGGCCCATTACACTGTTGGTATGCCCGCTGATCAGCCAGCGTTCTGGGTATAGGTGCCTGCTATGTGTGATCCCCTGTTGGCTATTCCATAAGCTCACTCAACCAAGGTTTAGTCCCCCCTTTTTTTAAGGCGGGCTCGTGTCTTCCCTCCCCGCTAACCATCCTCTTATGTGCACCCCCTCTTTTTTGGGGCTAGTCCACAGACTGTCACCAGGTCTCCCCTCTTTTGGGTAGCAGGTGAGCTCCGCAGTGTCCTCCCTATCAGGACTGAATGCTTTCCCAACATAATAAATTAAAATTAAAAACCCTATTATCCCTATTAAAATCTATTTTACTGAATTATTTTCGACTCCCCGAAAAATATAGCTAAACCTGAACAGGTAAGTAATGTAAGTAAGGGTCAGGGGACACATTGGAAGACTGCATATCACGGCATTGTAGGTGCGCTCGCTCTACTGCATGGCACACCCTTTGCCAGGGACGCGGTAAGGTTCTTTCGTTGTGGCGTTTTTCCATAGATTTCCCCATAGTTGAGGTTTCCACATAACATTGGAATTCCCCATCCGAAGGGGAACGCTACGGTTACTAAAGTAACCCTTCGTTCCTTGAGGGGGGTGAACGGAAATGCTATGTACCTTTGCCACAACAATTGTTCCTTAGCTGTTTAGCATGAAAGTCTCTTCCACTGAAAAGGATGTCAAGCATTGCACTAGCTGCGTCTTTATAGCATGACTGATTGTCATGCTGACGCCGCCAATTCATTGCCATTTCATTGGCCCAATTTTATACTCTTTCAGATGATTGGTTTCCACATAGCATTTCCGTTCCTCCCCTCGGGGAACGAAGGTGTACTTTAGTAATTGTAGCGTTTCCTAAAATATTATTCTAAACTTTTCATCTGTAGTTTTTATTAAAACTAATGAATAACAATATATTTAACAATATGTAGGTGTAGGGCGAGGCAGTGGCGCAGTAGGTAGTGCTGTCGCCTCACAGCAAGAAGGTCGCTGGTTCGATCCTCGGCTCAGTTGGTGTTTCTGTGTGGAGTTTGCATGTTCTCCCTGCCTTTGCGTGGGTTTCCTCCGGGTGCTCCGGTTTCCCCCACAGTCCAAAGACATGCGGTACAGGTGAATTGGGTAGGCTAAAATTGTCTGTAGTGTATGAGTGTGTGTGTGAATGTGTGTGTGGATGTTTCTCAGAGATGGATTGCAGCTGGAAGGGCATCCGCTGCGTAAAAAACTTGCTGGATACGTTGGCGGTTCAATCCGCTGTGGCGACCCCGGATTAATAAAGGGACTAAGCCGACAAGAAAATGAATGAATGAATGTGTAGGTGTAGATGCATTTATTAGTGATCAAAACCCAAAAATAAAGACAGCAGAACAGAAGACACTTATAAATGCTCACCATGTCCATGAGCCTGTGCTTTCTCTCCTCTCCAGGGCCATTGTGTGTCTTCCCCTTCCTGCAGGACAGAGTCAGAGAGATGTAAATCAAACAGTTCACAAATTCAACCATTCAAATGCTTAGTTTATCCACAGATTTATGGAGACGAAACACGCTGACTCATTTGAGCCCTTGATTCAATTTACTTTAGGAGCTCCAACTGTTTATCTTGCGCAGGAACAAAACGCACATTTCAATTCAATTAGGCTACTCAAACGATTCAAGGCAGTTGTTTTTTATAAACTGTTTGAGTGAAGCCATTTGATCAGAAGATGCACTGTCCTCAAAATGAGTCCTGATTGGCATTTGAAACAACAGAAGGCTTTCGCTGGATGATTAACAGGCCTCTGAGTAACTGCAGAGCGACAGTGTTTAAGCCACAACAATGATCAGTCTATACAGTCTATACAACTATAACACATTTCAAACATCACTAAAATAGCTAAATAGATGATGAGTATTATTTTCCTCATGAACAGATAAAACGTATACAGTTTCTTCACAGTGTAAACTTTTCTCAGACACATATACTGTACTCAGTAATTTGGTCCAGAGCATTTGCCCGGAATGTTCCGTTAAATTTGACCAGACATCTGTTTATTCTTGGAAAAAGCATGTCAGTCGTTCCCTTCTGATTGCTTGTATTGCTTTGATGAGATTACAGAAAGCATGTAGGTATCAGGAATCCAACCTCAGAAGATGAACAGCAGGAGAAATGGATACAAAATGAATTTTGTAGTGTACTAAACCAATTTCTGACATTACCATGAATCACTGATATTTGTTTTTAGGACTAACAGAATAAGAAAAAAAACAGTATTAGAATATCTCGCAAGAACATTTACCCTTGCGAAAGTTTTTGGAAAATAAAGTAACACAACTTTTTAAACCAATATGTGGAAATATTTTTGTGAAGATGCATCTGGTAGACGTTGGTTAAGAAGAATAAAGACATTTCACTTCAAATTTGGCCTTAAATATATTTGGTGAAAATATAAACTTAAAGGTCTGGTTCTTTCCTTTTCCACATAAGTTCACAGAATCTGGTCCCAAGTAGATGGTGCTAAATTAGTTAGATTAGGAACTTGTCTACTTTTAAAGGTGCTGTATGTAAGTTTTTGACTCTTTTAAAGCATAAAAGTACCATATTACGTTTGTAGATATTTAGGAAACATGCTAAGTGAACATTCTTGTTTATCTGAAACATAATGCTAATGTCAGATATTCTGCTTTTAAAATGGGTGTTACGTGCCAGAATGGCTGTCTTTGTTTTAGTTCTTTTAACCTGACAAATGCCAGTTCAGCCAATTGTATCAGCACCCCTGGTTGTCTTGGTGGAAAACTGCGTATTTCATTCATTCAGTAAGAAAGACTCTCAAAATGTGCATCTGTGATGATTATATTGCATATGTGCATTTCAGTGTGTACCACATTGTGTGTATGAAAGAAAAATTTGGTAATTTTTTATACCATCCCAAATATGGTCAAACAAAGATTTAGATTCTAGTGGTGATTCTCTGTTTATAAAAGAGCATATAAAACCATTTCTGGAGAATTGTTGAACACACCTTAATAAAATAGTAATGGTTGGTGATATTAATGTCCTGTTTGTGGCACATTAGTATATATGAGGGGGCAAAATTTTCAAGATGGGTGGTGAACATGGTGGCCATTTTGAAGTTGGCTATCTTGGATCCAATTTTTGTTTTTTCAATAGGAAGGGTCATTTGACACATCAAACTTATTGGGAATTTCACAAGAAAAACAATGGTGTGCTTGGTTTTAACGTAACTTTATTCTTTCATGAGTTATTTACAAGTTTCTGACCACTTGTGTTCAATGTGCTGCCCATTGTGTTGGATTGTCAATGCAACCCTCTTCACCCAGTCTTCACACACTGATAGCAACACCGCAGGAGAAATGGCAGCACAGGCTTCCAGTATCCGTAGTTTCAGGTGCTGCACATCTTGTATTTTCACAAAAACTGGACAAAAATTAGATCCAAGATCGCCGACTTCAAAATGGCCACCATGGTCACCACCCATCCTGCATAGTGAGCCCCCTCATTTTTACTAATGTGTCACAAACAGGACGTTAATCTCACCAAACAATTCCATTTTATTAAGGTGTATCCATATAAATGGCAAACCCTGTAGATATCCTACTATTACATTTTGAATCAGTGCATCCTATGGCAGCTTTAAAATTGAAGCATTATACTTGCCTGACCCTGGACTTGATAGACAATTTACGAGAGTGTCCTGCTCAAAATGGCCAGGTCCAACCAAAATGCAAGATAAGATATATAATGCAGGCAAATTAGATTTTACAAACACTGTAAAAATTAAATCTGTTAATTAATAGTTTTTTTTTAATTCCAATTAATGGAAAATGTCTATTGTCAATTTTTGATGATATGTCAATTTTTAATGTTGAAAATTCAACTCTACAGTTTAACAAAATGACTTTTATTGACATTTTAGTAGTTTGAAATAATATAACGTATAAGAAACAATATATAGAGTAATACATCTGTAAAATAACAGAAACTGTACTGGGAGTTTATTACAAGGTTTTTGTACCATGCAACACCAATCTAGACAATACATCACCTCAAGCAATTAAAAGTGTTCATGAAAGTCACTTTTTTTGAGATCTTAAGGTTAAAAGTTGTTGGAAGAAAGATCAAGGTTTCATAATGCAATTCAAAAGCATAAATAAATGGAGGAAATATACCATGAATCACAAAATATAATGTACGAATATTTTTTACAGTGCGTACTACTCTTTTATAATCAGTTCTTTGTTTATCATACTGAATAGTTACCAAAGGGCAAATACCATTGTATTACTTAAAGTTGCAAAGATCTCCTGCCTCCACATACCACACATCTACTGTACTTTAGTTTTCTCATTTACTTTTCCCATAGGAAACTCTTGTTTTGCTCATCTGTAATTCAGCTGACCCTTGTCCTTGTCTCTCTCACTTCTTTCTCTCCATCTCTTATTCCCCTAATGCTTTTCCTTTGTCTTTCCACAACCAGATGCATCATGTAGTTTGACAAAATGAAACATTAGCATTCATGCAGTGTGCTCTGTGCTTTCACAAGAGAGACACAGGGAAAAAACAGACGCTTCCTGTTTAAACATCATTGCCATGTTAAAATGACATCTTCACCATTTTTAAATAAGCTCTATTAAAGGATTTAGTGGCAGTGAATGGTGAAGACAGGTGATCTCTGGCTTTCATCCGGAACAAACACACTGCAGAAATGGGATATGCAGCTTTATATTAAAGGAGATTTTACTAATGTATTAATATTAAGATTAACAGTGATATGATTTACAGTACAGAATATTTTACAGTAGATGGTTATAAGCAACAATGTGAAAATTACCTTAATGTGAAAATGATTCCAGATTTTTTTAGATTTCCAGGACTAAAAATCACACTTGAATATTCTTTCATTTATTTCTGTTTCCAAAGACTAGGGGAATCCCGCTTAAGATATATATTCATTTTTAATTGATTAAGCTTATATGTATGCTTGCTTTGTCATATTTAGTTTTATCTGGAGTCATCTTCAGACACTGGATTCTGGACCACTGTTTAGTCAAGGAAATGCCAATGTAATTTGATTTAAAGATTAAAAGGTAATACGATTTAAAATGAAGCTCTAAGGGAGAGAATACAACACAACTGATTGTTCAACTAATAAAACATCCTTCCAAATTAATATCAGTACACAAGAAATGGATTTAAACACATTCCGGCATATTTAAACAACTTTGTTTTCAAGTGTTTTAAATTTAGTATGACGTCTTATTTGACGTTATAGGCCTTCATTAGGCCTGGGGTTCTGGGTTATGCTAAGTTCAGACTGCCTGGTTTTATCCCCAATTTTGACTCGCCGACATGTTTTGAGAAATTGCAGAAAAATAGAATAAATATATTATTTTATATCAGACACACATCTGGTGCTTGTATTCGCTCCTGCTATACGTCCACAACTTCACGCATTGGATTAAATTAATCTTTACAGTTTCCATGATCAGTCCTTTACTTCCACTGTATCTTTTTAAGAAAATGGCAGAAGCATTACAACCTGTCATTCAATCAGAAGTCAAAGCCGAGCTGACAGCCAATCTTTCCTAGGCTCAGCAAGACTTGCAAAAATACTTCTGTTTTCCTGCAACTGCAGTATTTGCATATATATATATATATATATATATATATATATATATATATATATATATATATATATATATATATATATATATATATATATATATTAATCTTCTGCAACAATATTTAACTCGTGAATTTGTTTTACATTCACTTACAGCTTGTTGGCCAATTTATGTATGGCATGGCCATTAAAAATACAATGTTCCTTAATCAGATGGCTTTTCAAGTTACTTATTTAGTGAATGTTACTTCAGTCATGTTATTGTAATGTTTAAAGTTGACTAGTTACACAATAAAAACAACGAAATCGTGAATCGGTCAAACTTTATAAAAAAAAACAAGATTTTTTTTTTTGTCATATCGCCCAGCCCTAGTTTTTTGTATACCAGGCAAAAATAAGAAAAATCTATTTTTCAATGGAATGGATTTGATTTATTACATCCGCAGCACAAAAGCAGGACAAGCTATGTCCTATACTTAGTTTAGATCAGGAGTGCCCAAACTTTTTCTATGAAGGGCCAAAAACCAAACTTGATTGAGGCTAGTGGGCCGAAGGTATATATAGTTGCCATGGGTAATTTTCTAATATTTAAAATTACTTGAAAACATTGCTTTACATTAACTAATACAGCATTTTATAATGAACTGATTACAGTAAAACAAAAACCATCTCATTTATGACAGAATGGAATTACACTAGTTTTTGCCTTGATTTGCGACTTGATTTGTGTCCAGTTGGCATTTCTGTGTGGAGTTTACATGTAGACTGTTTTTTCCCCACAGTCCAAAGACATGAGCTGTAGGTGAATTGGTTAAACAAAATTGGCCATAGTGTATAAATGTGTTTGTGTGAATGAGGAGTGTATATAGATGTTTCCCAGTACTGGGTTGTGGCTGAAAGGGCATCCGTTGTGTAAAACATATGCAGGAATAGTGATGGCCGGCGACCCCTGATAATTATGAACTAAGCTGAAGGAAAAGTAATAAAAATCAGTTCATGTACAACATTTAATTGAAACATTTCATTTCAGTTTTTTTTTTTGTAGCTCAGCAATAAAACAAATAAAAAGGTTATGTCGAATTATTAATAACCGTCTCTTTTAAAGGCATTCGCCCCAACCCTTTCCATCCTTCTTACTCTCTTCTTAGGTTACATTTTTACCGTCAGGTCTTGATGCTCCGATTAGTTGCCTATATCTGATTTTTTTTGCCTGTCCGTTTAAACATTCTTTTAATTGTGACCCATATCTGATTCATGTGTTTACACTTGCCATGCAATTGACGATGTCGTGCATGCGTAAAGGCAGGTTCTAGCATCTGTGCCACATTAGCCACGATTGATAGCTTTTGGCTTCACAAATATGCGAAGTTCGCCCAACTTTAAAATGATTTTGAGGTGGAGGAAGAGGGAAAGGGCCGTCATTGCAGCTTGTGCCTATGGTTTATATATGGTCTCCTCTATCATTCAGAGAAATTTGTGGGTACGAGAGAGATCTCAGGTCTGGAGCAAAGAAAATTGTGGCGAATAACCACTTTCCTCCTCTATGTTTCCTCTGTTGTTGTTGTTTACTGTGTCTGCGCCTCCACACACACACACACTTCCTTCTACGTCATCAAACTGTGGAGAAGTACCACAATGATGCAAGTTTAATGATGTACAAAACGGAATACCACAATAAATCCAATCTGCCTGTTTACATGAAAGTCACATTGTCACACATCCCATTATATCCACATATGAAGAAGGCCTAAAATCGATCTCTGAATATCCAAACATATGCGTTTTTCCTGTGTTTGTGTGGTCATAGAACAGATCCGATCTGTGTCACACATGAGCAAAAAATCAGAATTGGGTAACATTTAACTGGCAGTGTAAACGGGGCCTTAGATGGGATGGTGCACCAAATCAAAGGTTACAATGGCCAATTTTGGCCTGCGGGCCCTACTTGAGGCAACTTTTGTTTAGAGGTTTCAACAAGTGCCTCTGAATAAGAATATAAACAAACCACGCATGTGTGTATTTGTGCGCACAACTCACCTCTGGCAGCCTACACATAGCACGACAATGAGGATGGTGACCACGAATGCTGAGGCGGCGGCGATGGCCCCCAGCAGCAGTACTTTGCCGTAGGGATGAGCAGAGAAGTTCACCCCGTCCTGCATGGAGGCCATGTGGAAGTGCTCACACACACACTTTCACGCTCGCCCTCACGCGCGCACACTCATATATGCACACACACACATGCACTCTCAAACACAGGCCACAAAATCTGAAAGAGAAGAGAGGAGGTCTACAATCAGTTCCCTTGCTTTGTAAAACAAGCCCTTTTCACCCATCTGAAGCATCACAGAAATGAATCACAGTCTTTCATTTCTCCCCACAGCCGAGTGTGAATGAATGACAGAGAGTGATTCTCCCACACTCTTTCTCTTGTTCTTTTTCTCTGTCCCGCTCTTGCACTTTTATTTTGTCGCACGGGTCTCTTTCTCTCTTTCTCTCTCTCTCTCTCTCTCTTCTCTCCCACAGCGTGTCATTTTCTGCCCACTGACTGTCACTTTTCGTTTATGTGCAATCATTTGCCTCAGACTGGGGGGCATTTTTCATTCGTTTCTGCTTGTGAGGATTCAGGAGCATCAGGTAACTCACCTGTCTGATTCTGTGAACAAGCAAGTGAACACATTTGTTGATTTCTATATAGAAGAAGCTTTGTGGTTATGGCTGCACAATATATCGTTTAAGCACCGATATCACAATGTGTGAATCCGCAATAGTCATATCGCAAGATCTGCAATGATCTGCAATCTGCAGGGCAAAACACACCAGATTTGTGGATAGACTGTAGAATTGAACCAGAATAGAATGGAATTTTAGGCCTGCGACTATGTGAGCATTTTAAGAGTTTAAAGCATTTTAGTCGAGCATAAAGCTGTTTAATAAAGATGATTTGTATTGAATAACTCATATGAGGGACTATGTAGTGTTATTTTACATTTGACTATTCAATTGCTGTACCCGAATACTGACTCCCTCCAGAAAAACCATAAAGCGCAGTTTATTTCACTTTAACATTTGCTCCATTGTGTTTTGTTTTTTTATCACTGTAGTTTGTTTTTAAATCTATATAATAAATTACATAAAGATGTTTATATTTAACTCCACTACAAAATCATCCTAATCAATCTAAAGTATTTTGGAATAGAGCTATTAAAGTCATCTGTTGAAATTGTATTTATACCAAAATACGGAAACTGTTTCTGGGTTTTTCGGGTAAGCAAGTATTTTACAGTACTTTAGAAATGCTCAAAAATGCATCTGTCAATGTTTTCAAACTATTCTATATGATTTACCAAAGTCACACAAATGACAATTTCACATCCTGTCCAACCATAATGTAGAGATGTCACATCACATCTACAACACTTTTTCCTTATAAATGTGAAAATATTTAATAAAATAAAATCAATCATTTTTGTTTATAGAGAGCCAACTCTTATTATTTTGATTACCATTGTTTCTTTTGGGCTGTATGTTGTATACTGCAAACCCACAGACTTTTTTGTCGCATCCATAATGCATGTTTATTTTCCTCATTTGAAGTACAAAACATGCTTAAAGATTGATATTTTATAGTCCCTTACTTCTGTGGTCAATTGTTCTGGAAAATATAAACTGATGTTTCAATATAATGTTAACATATGTTGAGTTTTTACTGCAAATGTCACATCCATAACGCTGGAATAGCTTTTATATATATATATATATATATATATATATATATATATATATATATATATATATATATATATATATATATATACATACATATATATATATATATACACATATACATACTGTATATATATATATATATATATATATATATACACACACACACACACAAACACACACACACACACACAAAAACTATACACTGCATTGACTATTTATCAACTCGGTTCAAAAGTAAAGACTGAACACTGGAGCGAATGCATTTAGCTGGACGTGAATCAAAACAGGAAACCCTTAATACATGTACAAGTAGATGAACTCAAAATATTGATGGAGCATGCTAAACTAAAGCACACTAAATTGCATATCAGGCATTTTCCTCCCATAGAAAACCATTATAAAGAAAAAACATTATGGTGCTTGATGCATCAAAAAGTGATTTATAAAGACCAAATTTGCTAATGTTGTGTTTTTTTCACAATAATTTAATATGGAAGAAAACACACAATGTGTAATTTAGCATGTTGGATTTACAGTATACCAGGTGTTTTTGTTAATAAGTCATATTAGTGTTGCATTTGTTTTAAATGCCTTTAGGTTTTTGTTGTCCATAACAAATGTCATTGAAAGCATAAAGTTATGAAAAAGTTTTAATACGGTTTACTTGGCGTTATCGTGATTACAGGCAGAAGTTTTAAAAATAGTTTTGTTTTTCTCTTTGTTCAGATTTTTTAATCAACATTTTGGTCAATAAAACAAGTTCAAAAATATGTGAAAAATAGAGAAAAGTTATCTTTGTTCCAAAAGAGCCCCCTGCCCCACTGCACCATTTCTATATGATATATTATGCACATTTTTAATGTTTTACATCATGTCTTCATATATACTGGACGTACATACCATACTAGTAGATAAAAGTTCCCTTATATGTTCACTTATCTATTGTACATATATACGCTAACAATGAGTCACAATAGGCTTAGCAAATATAAAATAAAGAAAAAAAAATTATATAAAATAAAATGGCGGGAAGGAAAAAAAATTAAGAAACAAATAAACAACGGTCAAACTGCACATATAAAGTTTGGATCCATTTGCTCTATATATGTCAGCACTGGCTGCCAAATAAGATAACATTTTTGACTGCAGCCTTTGGTGGAGTACCGAATCTTCTCTATTGTAAGATGGTACATAAGATCCCTAATCCAATGATTAAAAGTTTATGGAAATTTGTCATTCCATTTAAGCAGTATAAGACGTCTAGCAATTAATGTTGAAAACAAAATCATACTTTTGGTATTATTGTCTAAACTGGGATCTGTAATTAAACCTAATTTTCCTACAATAGGACAAGGGTCAATTGATACATGCAAAATATTTGAAAAGAAATTAAATAATGATTGCCAGAACTTGGTCATTTTAGAACATGATCAAAACATGTGTATGATAAGCTATCTCTACTTCACATCTATTACATTGTTCTGTTTTTCTTAATGAAAATAAATTTGCATCTGAACTTGCACGATATTTTAAAAACTAAAATTAAAATGTTTAGTTTTTCTGCAATAAATATGAGCAATATCACACGAGTAGCAGTGCAATATGGCTGTATATCAGCACTGGTGGGAGGCATGCTTTGGCACAGAGGCCGCAGGCCGAGTGCCTTAGCGCCCCACCAGTGCTGATATACAGCCATATCACACCGCTACGAGTGTGATATTGCATTTATACAACAGTTCGACGGCGCAATCTTGTATACAAAAAAGAAAATCAAACACGGAGAGTCTAAAACCTTTTTGTATTAGGAACTACTTTCTTCCACCAATCATTCACATCTGCAGCTGACGTCAGATCAGCAGAAGCCGTTACTAATTCACCAATGTCACTTTAGAGCTAGTGTTTGAATGATTCTCGATAGCGTAATGTGAAGCGGCGCTTCTGATGTGTGTCCAATAAGCAACCGTTACAAAATCACAATAATTAACCTTGAAAAAAAAACAGTAATCACTAACTTACCAGACTGCTGTTGTGTTTGTGATAAGGAGGAACGAGGCTGAATCCAGCTTCTTATTCGCAGCTTCTTATTGACTCTATCCGGTCCACCTTAAAAAACGAGACGCTGCCGTTTTTCAGCTTCTTATTCGTGCTCAGGAAAACGCACTAAGCAATCGCTTATTATGTGGTCCTGGCGCCATCTTGTGGATAGACAACGTCAACCGTCTTCTTTGGCCACCAACGAGCTGTCTCTCAGAAACTGTAAATATTTTAAAATAGGCACTATTTTTACAAATAAACTGCATAGTAGCAATCTAAACAACTATATTCTCGACTAAAAAAGCCATAAAAGTACATTTTCTTGTCTAACAACAGTAATATTTGTCAAACTGTAGCGTCTCCGCTTGTTGCTGGCTGTATGTGGGCGGAGTAATACACAGTGAAGGTGAAGAGGCCTTTGTGTGATGTTACTGGCAATATATTGCACGGCTATCTGCCACTCAGATTCAAAAACCAAACAGAACTGTTGTATAAATTGCGATATGACTGTAATTTCACAAGATGACTTTATTTGGAAGAATTAATAATAATATAACAATAATATACAATTAATAATAATTGTACAATAATTAAATAGTTATCCAAAAAATATATATTTTTAAATGTAACAAATAAAACACAGATGAAAACAATAGAGCAAATATAATGAAATAAACAGAACTTAATGATTTTGGAGTATGAAGCACAGAAAATCAATAATTAAAAGTAAAATAACACTAGTCCTCATTGTATCAATAATGAAACAATTAATCTTTGATAAAGTGACAAACTCTTGCCTAAATAGTTTAATTTCACTTAAAGTCGTACAGTCTCATGCTTTTAAAACTCACTCAAACAAAATTCTTTTACACTAGAGTTAAACTTTGACTCCACAAATCACATCTTAAAAACTTCTTCATGATTTATTTATAGCCCCAACTTGACATTGCAGATATGACTATTGCAAATTTGCACATTGCGATATCAATGCTGAAATGATATATTGTGCAGCCCTAATCATAAGTCAAGCTACGCAACAACAAAAAACTTTTAATGTTATTAAAATGACATGTGGAGCCCTAGCAAAGCAGGTGCTGGTGCCACCATCTGTGTTGTTCTGTTAGCCCTGAAATGCACTATATTTTGCTGTGTGATGAATTTGAGACCCCTTGCTCTGCCACCTGTTTAACAATATTTTTTAAAAACACTCGATTGGGTAGACTAGTGTCAGACGACTGCAATAGTAGCGGTGTAAGCTCACACTAAGTGTCACAGGGGCCCCAGGGTTCAAGTGCTCATCTATTGCTAAATGTGCCATGAGTCCCAGGGGCCAAAGTGGTCAGCTTGCACTTTATTTGCCAGGAGCCCCAGTGTTAAACTTCATTTGACTGTGTCAGGACACACGGCTTCAGGCTTTGAAGGCCCCTGGCTGTCCTAGAGAACTGCACAGAAATTAATGGCAGCAATGTCCAACCTGACCTGATGCCAAGGTCGAATCTGCGCAGA